TAATTTTAAACGTGTCCTAGAGAGAGAGAGAAAGACTTACTTTTCAACGTGGATATTACCTTCTGTTTAACATCTTGAAATAGTTTTGTTCGGTGGCGGTTTTCAAAAAGTAATTATTTGACCACTTATAAACTATTAAATAGTTCGTATATAGTTTACGGATATGCACGTGGTCATGACTTACTACTAACATGAAAGAATACATTATCAATATTAGGATTAATATTTTAATAAATAAAAGGAATTAAAAAAGAATAAGAATAAAACCACAATACGTACAAAAGTACAAAATATCTAATAATAATCAATAAACATTTCACTATCTCGTGAGCAAACTTATTGAAGCTCATTACGGTTTTTATTCTAGAGTTTAAAGTTGTATTTTAACACTATTTACCAACATTAATATCTGCAAGTCACCGATAGGGAAACTGATGTCAGTCTCATAACTCTTATAAACTTTAAATAACGTAATTAGTTAGAATGTGAGTTAGCGTTTAAATGTAAACTAAAATTTCATAGATTAACTAAACAATAGAAAGAATAATAAAGTGAACTGAAAACAAAACCATAAAGAAACAGAAAATAAAGCTTGCTACCTCACACTCCTTGCGCTTTCGAAAAATGAAGTGATTAATCACTCTTAAATTCCCAATTTTCCTATCCTTACTTTTAACGATCTCGTTATACTGACATCATGAGTCCTGCACAGTTTAAATGCATATACCTTACAAAGAAAAAAAAATGTTTATTTTCGTCTATGTTCAGCTTCATTTTCTCTACATTCCAGTTATGGTTCAGGAAGTTTGAGTTCAAACAAAGACCAGCTAAGCTGCTATGATTAACTAGTTAGAGTAATATTTGAATTCACGTGATCATTATTTATATATTCTTTAACAACATTAATATCTGTAAGTCAACTTTAGGAGAACTGGTGACGGTCTCAATTCAATCTAATTTAAAATTGATGTATACAACTACAATGCGAGTTAGCGTTTAAATGTATACTAAATATTTACAGCTTTACTAAATGATAGAATAAAATAATAATAATAATAATAATAATAATAATAAATGAACTGTAAACAAATCTAAAACGAAATAAAAATTAAACCTCCTACCTCACAATCCTCTCCCTATTAAAAACAAATAAATTACATTAATCATAATAAATACAAAATTTTTCCATCCTTACTTTTAACGTTATAGAAGGAGAAACCATTCATTTTCTTATATATTAGGCTTTATATTCCGGCTCCACTTCTGGATAACGGAAATTGAGATTGTAAGAACAGCCACTCTGCGATAACTATAAAACAAAATCAAGTACATACTCTTTGCCAACATAATATCTGTACGTCACCGATAGAGGAAACTGGTATCAGTCTCATAATTGATATAAACTATATATTGACATGATTAGCTAGAAGGTGAGTTAGCGTTTAAGTGTAAATTAAAGACTAACAGTTTAAATAAAAGATAGCAGGAATATGAAATAAACTGTAAACAAAAACATAACAAAATAGAATTTACTATCTCACACTTCTTCCCCCTTTAGATAAAGGAAGTGATTACATTATAAGTTTCCAATTTTCGTATCCTTACTTTTAACACTCATTATACTGACACCATGAATCCTTTACAGTTTCAGTACAGATACCTTACAAATAGAAATCATTCATGTTCTTCAATCTTTAACTTCATCTTTAGTTTCCTGCTCTGGTTCACCTTATAGGAAGTGCTCGAGTTGGAAGACCAGCTGGTTTGAGCAGAAGACACAAGTGAAAGGTGTAAGAATGAGATGTGGATACACCAGAATAAATAATTTTTGTTGGCAAGGGGAGAAAACAATCTCCAAGCCTTATGTCGCCATTTAATTTACTGAAACTGTAAAGGACGATGAGCACTTCCTCAGGTGCCGAAAGATTTTTCATTGGGAGTAAATATGTACATAATTTTAGAAACTTAAAATCATCATATCACCAACCTAATAACTTTTATTTCATATAAAAAATGGAGTAACAAGTAGTAACTTCTAATACCCCATTCCATTTTAGAATAAGTTTGAGTAAAAGTATTTACTACAGAAGATAATTGATGGAATCTAAATAATACTAGGGAGTTACTTACTTTTAATTGTGTCCGAGAGACTTACTATTATACGCTTGTTTGTCGCTGTTGTTTCACGGGCTTTAAAGTTGGATCTTACCTCCTGTATAACCTGTCTAAATAGTGCCGTTTCTTCCTCTACGGTCCGAGAAGGTGTTTGGTATTGAGTTAGATGGTTCTAAAATCTCCTTCTTTGATACCTTATTTAACTAGCAGGTGTGAAATATCAGAATTATCGCACAGTTTTGCATACAATTAATGAATATGATCATGACCAGAAATTTCTGCTAACATAAAATAAATATTAATATTGATGATATATTACTTCAAGGAATTAGGAAAGAACTGGAATAAAAGTTAATTCCAAGACACGTACGCAAGCAAAGAATTTATAAAACATCCAGTAATAATACTTGTTCAATATCTCTTGTGAACTATCTCATTGAATATCATGATAGGGTTTTTATTCACTAGATTACAATTCACTTGGTCCTGGTTAACACGCAAATATTATTAATGTTACAAAAGCAAGTCACCGTCAGGGGAAACTGGCGTCAGCATCATAATTCATACAATTTTAAAATTGACGTGATTAACCGGAAGAGTGAATTTACATATAAGCGTTTAAAGTTCACAGATTATCTAAAATTAAGTGGTGCCAAATCTACAAGAATGAGTCAATGTTCAGACAGGGCCACTCTAGAAGTATTCGATAAATATAACTAATGAGAATCATTATACAACATAACTTACAACTAAATTAAGATGAATGTTGACTATTACTTTAACTTAATGAAGGAAGGATTGCGTTACTCTATCAGTAAAACACGAATGTATCTATTCTCTCACTTCTCAATGATACAGAAATCTGTATATTTATGATATTGTCTAAACAGTTCTGCGTATACAAGGAACTGATTCTGTTTCTAAGCTATTAATTTGTTTTCGATATAGAACTTTTGTAAATAAAGTTTTTTATTATTATTATTATTATTATTATTATTATTATTATTATTATATAACTACAAACAAGTAAGCCACCAAGATCTATACATAATGTAATTTCTTGTTACCTGATGATGACAAAACCTTGTACATTTGCTGTTATGTTAAACTTAGTTTTTCTTCATTACTCATTAAAGCCGTCTTCAGCCATTATTAGTCTCAAAGTGGGTTCCTCGTAATCGAATTCTTGTTAAGTTAACTTTCATACAAGTCTGAGATGTATCAGTTAGTGTACAATTATTGTATACTTTCTACTAAATTCGAGCCAAGAACTGAATATTCTAACGATTATTAACAAAATAAGTACTGAATAAGGAATTGATTTAGTATCAATTGTTTAGGTGTTAAAGAAAAAGATGGAAATTGCGTTAGGAAAAAGAAAAGTCTCAATCCAAGGAAAGGTTTGTATGTTTTCGTTTAGCAAAGATTGATAATATAAAATAAATAAAATTATCCGAAACTTAAGGGAATACTGAGTGGACGATACTATACTATTGGAAAGAACAACTTTATAAACTATGGTAATGCTCGTCTACAGTTTCTTCCCTCCTTGGCCGAGTCCCCGGGTACAAGGCCAATTGACTGAAAGACGCATACAAGCGCTATCACAGTTCGTAAAGTATTCTCTCTAATAGTAGGGTGTGAATTACTATTATTTGAAGTTTGAGACTTAAGAAATCAAAAGAAACTTATCCATCTCTGGTAAAAGGAAAACTTAAACTTTCCTGAATTATGTAAACTCTTATCCAATACTTCGAGATTTGTTAATAGGCATTAG